ATTTGGTGTCCTCCTCCTTGCGAGTCCTCCAATGGCTACTTTGATTTGATCCTGAAAAGCCAGTTTCGTAATTCAACTTTTGTTGCACTCCACACGAAATAATCCACACACACATGCAGGCAGTAACACCTCACCCACCCCTTGTCACTCTACCCATTTACAGGAATGCGCGCCACACACGCGTCATAGGCAATCATTCATCTCATTGAAATCAAAGGGCGTTCCCCGCAACGGGCCACATAAGCACGCACCCCCACTGTGAATGGAACATTCTTTCTCCTTCCGCTGACAACTCGCATTACAAGCACTAGAGCAACACCACTTGAACGCACCGTGCACGCCCACACATCCCTCAGAACCCGCACACCACTGCCGCGGGGCGCTGCCGAGTGACCGCGATGCCGCCACCCTTCCCTATGGAATAACCTGTGGCCCTGACAACGACTGGCACCGCGTCACCCAGATCCCCATCCACGAAGACCCAACTCGATACCGAGGCAACGCTGGCTGGAAGGCTAACGCCCGCCCACCCAAGTGTTTTTTTACTAACTTGATTAAAAGAAAAGCGACCCAGGGGTAAACGAACAAAACCAAAAAACCTATAATAGATTTATCTTTGGGATAAAACGAAGCAAGTATTAGTAGTAGTAGTGTTTTACAAGATGAAGCGAAACAATGAGAACCAACGCAACCATTGTTGTAATTTTTTGCTCAATCAGAACCACGCGAGCAGAAAAGACGGCCCCGGGGTTTAGGAGTCGGTCTCACATTCGGAGTTCCAGAGCTAAAGGAAAGATAGTTATTTCAGAGAGACAAAAGTTTAACCTACCGTCAGATTATCACGCAGTAGCTGCATGATGAGAGTACTGTCCTTGTACGTCTCGTCTTTGATCGAGTCCACCTCTGTAATGGCAGCATCGAAAGCTGCTTTGGCTAGTGAACAGGCTTTCTCGGGCATATTTTTAATCTCATAGTAGAAGACGGAGAAGTTGAGCGCCAGCCCAAGTCGAATTGGATGAGTGACTGAGAGCTCCGCCTCAGCAAGTGACGTAGCCTTTTGATACGCCTCCTCAGCAGCCTCTGTTGACTTGTCATTCTGTTCACCCTCCTGAACTTCCGCCAAGTAGCGATAGTAATCACCCATCATCTTGTAGTAGAAAATCTTTGCTTCAGCACCGATTTTCTCCGTGATTAGATTCTTCGAGAGGAGAGCCTGAAAAATTATAAAATAAAACACAACGGCAGCGATGCGCCTACCAGAACATCGTTGCAGATTTTGGTCAATTCTTCCTCCACCTTCTTAAGGTAAATGTCCGTCTGATCAGCAAGCGGAGTGCCAGCCTGCTTCTTAGCGATACTAGACATTATTCTCCACGATGAACGACGAGCCCCGACTACATTTTTGTACGCAACGGATAACAAGTTACGCTCCTCGTTGTTAAGCTCATTGCCCATCTCGGCAATGGTCTTCATGGCGACAGCCATATCCTCATATCGCTCGGCCTGTTCTGCCAACTTTGCTATGGAGACAAGAGAAGCATGATCCTTGCATCCACTATCCGTAATCCAAGAGGTAATAGCTGCCATTTCAGGAAACCAACAGCCCCAGCGAAGAAAGTACGGTTACCGTGCTAAATAGGCGCTAGTGGCATGCTCATTGATTCAAACAAACAAAATTATCAGAAGTGCTTTAGGGTTAAAAACCAATTATTTAAATGCAAAATACTTATATAATGAAAAACTAAAATTTTGCGCGCTTAAAGACTTTTGATATTGCACTTTTTTAGATAATTTTCTAATAAAAAGTTAAATCCATATTAAACAAGTGAAAATAACTACTTACTTCCTGACGTCTATCTGGCCTTTTAAAAATTTGAAAGTAATTTTGTTTTTACTATTTTTTACAAAAGAAAAAATCTAGAAATTGGTTGGCATTAATAGTATTTCACACATAAGTTTTTTCGGTGGGTCGTTGAAGCCATTGATATTTTTTTAAAGGTTACACATTGTTTTTTTTCACTGCTTTAATTTTTCGGGCAAATATAGAATCGACAAGTGCGTTTATTTACCAACTTAATTGGGGCTGAGTACATGTTCATACGATTCTGGATTCTGAACTCTCCCCTGCGCAGTGGAAACCTAGTCAGGTCTTCGTTAAAGGACCAGGCTTCACAAAACGCCTCAATCAGAAAGATACATTTGAAGCATGCACACTATATAAACACTCTTACCACCTCCCAGTTTTTCCTATATTTTGTATATTAATTACATCTTTGCATTTTCATGATTTTTCTGTGCAGCTCCTTGCAACCCTTTTAAAAAGACGAAACATGATGCAAATTATTTAGGCAGAACATATATATTTAACACACGGAAGGGCCCGGGGCTGCTACCATGGCCCAGAGTACAACCCATGCGGTGAAGACGCAATGGCCAAGACACAAAGCGGACATTATGCCAAAACCAAAAGTTTAACGATCAACGTATTACGATCTGCAATTTTATTGCCTTGTTTGCCCTTAAATACACTTGCACTTAAGTTTCTATTCCCCTACATTAACACTCTCTAGCACTTTAAACAACTAATGAGCCTACGTGGTGAAAATCCGAGGCTTGTCCTTAAATCGAACTTTAGTTGCATTGGGTCAGAATGCTTCTAGTTCTTTTTTTGTTGCTTCCTTTGAATTGTCAAATAATAACTTGCGGCGTAAATGTAGCCCTCTGGCACCCACAGAAGGGCCTGGGTCTATTGGCATGTTCTGGAGGCCAGGCCGCCAGGCAGGGGTATAATTAAAGTGAATACACCTATACTGTTCCTTAGCTGTAAATTTGTAATAAATAAGAACCACAGCTATTCACATGTATCCATCATGTACTCCTTGTTTGATAAAGCCTCGGATTTAACAGACTTTTCCAAAATTGGGTCATAAAGGAAATAGTTTCTTTACGAATAAATATACTTCGTTATAATGTGCTTATGCCTAATTCGTGGACCACTATAAAAAATTCGTAATTACAGTGCTTGCCAAGTGTGCCCAAGGTTTTGCTATCTCCTCTATTGTGACTCAGAATACTAGATGTCATTAAGCGTCATACTCGAACTTGTTCTTGTTTCTACTTTCCTTTACATTCACTATTTTTGCTTTGTACTTTCCAATTCACATCATTAATTAGTGATTGACATCTTACTGCAGCTGCCTGTAAATTGCGTCTCCTTCATCAATGAGGAATGCAATTTGTATGACTTTCCGCCCATTAGTGACCTTAGTTTACCACTTGGCAAGGAGTGAAATCAGCACGCGGTGTCGGGTTTCATCTCATTCACTCCTTGAGGCGGCATAGTTTACATGCAGAAATTAGGTATGGAAAAGGTGGCCGAAAAAGTTTAGGAAGGGCTATCCCTTTTTAATTAGTACTAGACAGACGCAAAAGCTTTGTCACTACAGTCACACAGCCTTTCAGATGGAAGCCAACTTTGTATGTTACTTTTATAAATTTTTGTCTCCGATGTTGATTTACTCTAGCCTAGAAAATCGAAAAACTGAGAAGCTTTTAACGAAAAATGCATGATGGTGGATAGAAAGCACTGACGAAAACTGCAGCTAAAATACCAAATAAAATCCATGAACAGGAGAGAGATGGCGCTCCTACCTTGCCTTGTAATGTCCTTTCTCCAAATTGCTGGTAGAATTGAAAGGTGAATGAAAAACAACGTCGAAACCACGTCCTAGGCTGTTGTGTACACGCTTGTGGGTTTTGGAGTCAAGTTTTAAAAGAATAGGTAAACATTTAGTTAAGCATTTAATTTCGGTTACTACCCGACATTTATTTGTCAACTGTCAAATAAAGAATACTTCTTCTTAAGGTAAATCACAATTTGGCAGCACTCAATTCAACCGAATCTCCACTATAGTACTCATCTTTAAGGGTTTTATAATACTTATTTTAGAAGCTGGTTTCGGTTTTATAAAGGCTAGAAGCCCATATTACTGAAGAGTCAACCCTTTATCTGTTTTCTCTTCCGAAATGTTCAAATATTTGGTTTGTTTAAATATTTCGATATCTGCAAAAGCTTCACCTTTTTGGTAGCTAAAACGCTTCGAATTGGTCAAATGCAGTGTAGTAATTTTTCATTACATTGGTCAATGTATGCGCTGCCATCATTCAATGCGTATTACTCACCACCTCAGAGTCACATGACAGTTGCACACAAAAATTATTCACGTCAAGCAGCTGCGTCACACCGTACTTTCGAGTAGTTTGTCAGAGAGCTGTACTTCTCGCACGCAGCCATTTAGCAAGGAGCGATTTTGAGCTCAGTCATTCACAAGTAGGGCAGCCAAATTAGCGGAGAGGAAAGCGAAAAAAAAAATACGCAAATTTTGCAGAAGTGAGGCACACAGCCAATACGGAGCCCAGGATATGCGCATACTCACACGCCGTCAGGCGAATGCAAGGTGAGCCACCCACGAAAGAGGAGCACGTAGTATCTGGTGCAATCTGAGTCGCATTTATCAAGTCTCAGCAACCACGACGCCATGCCTACGGCTACTAATAAGGCAGGTGCAGGTGGTGAGGAGCATGAAAAACGAAAAATGACCTATACAAGCGAAAAATTTCAGAAATTGATTCACAGGAAGGAGGAGGGTCAAGATGGCGCTCCCACGCGCGACAGTCGATTGGGCTTGGGAGAGGGTGAGCGCAAGCACCGGAGAATGACGTTGAATTCCGAGATTCTGCATAAAATCAGGCACAAAAAGGACGAGGGCCAAAATGGCAGAAATTCCTCCAAAGAAATGCAAAAGACTGACCCCAGAAGAGCGTTAATGTTGGACCTCCCTCAAGAAGCTACTGTTGTAGAAAGTGGCGTAAGTTTTGGTTCCACTACTCACTACTTTGGCATCTTTGCATATTTTAACTTATTCAAATTTAAATTATCATTCATTAATCATAAAATTGAAAAATATAGATGTACAGTTTACTGCGTGTTTATAACGTAGTTATTTTTTGAGTCACGGCAAAAGAAATTGTCACCATGTGATGATCGGCAGCCAAAATGTGACTATGATTGACATATTCCCCCCACTTGAGGCAAGAACATCAAACTCTTTATTTCTTTTAATACAACACTGCCGCTTTCGGTCTTTTTTTTGGAATAGGAAAATTTTTAACAGGCATGCCGGAGCGAAAATACCTATTGATGTTTTAGTTGTTATTGTGGCACTGCGGTCTCATTTTCAGGCATAGTGACAAAGCGGCTTACTCAAATTTTTGTCATAAACAGCACTGGAACGCCACATTTTCGCACCTTCAGGTCTGTGAGTGGGTATGTGCCAAGTCACCCGCATCCAGCCAATCGGAGTGAGGCTGGGTCACGATCACGAGTGTGCAGAGTGTTGAGTTCACTTGATCACAGTGAACCGCAGCTAGATTCTAGTCGTGGCAATGACGGAGTGTAAGAGACCGTCTCTATGGTCGGTTTTTACCACCTGTTGCGCTTGTACGACCAAGCAGGTTGCAGTAAGTGTCGGTCTGGGTAATGGGAAAACGATAATGGGTCAGCAAAGTGACTCACCTATGAGTCAGGTAGGGCTTAAAATCTGCCGTACACAATCGCTACCTCTCATTAAAAAGTGAATTTTTTTTTAATCGTCCTTTTTAGCCAGTGAAGAATCCCGATGAGGACTGTGAAATGGTTACTGCGCTGGACACTGATAACTGTAAGTCCTTCCTTTGTAATCGCTAGCATGATTGAATCTTATAACATTTTTTTGCATAAATAGAAAGTTGACTCTAAAAAATCATGAAGACCTGCAAAGTGATCTTCTCTTACTTTGATTTTTGCTGGACTGGCTGGTGTACCACCTTCCAGCATTCTGATTGGTCGACTGTGAATGGGTAATGCTTGACGTTTGTCACATTTTCAGTGACAAAAGTTCAATTCCAATTCCTTGAGGCAGCCCGGACAAATCGTTGCGACATTCTTGGAATGATTATCGAACAACGCGCTTGTCGTTTAGATTTGAAAAACAACCTGGATCGAACAGCTCTACACTTGGCAGCTGCTCAGGGCTGTTTCGAGGCGGTTCAAATGCTTGTCAATGCAAATGCTTCTGTTGATATTCCGGATAAGGTAAATTCCACTTCAAAGAAGGGAATATTGTCACGTCTATGCCATTAATTGCATCCAGTACTGATTTAAGTAGCCTGAATAGCCACCTCCTGGTGAACGCTTCAGAGTCTGTTTCATCGAGGTGGAGACTTTGAGTTGTAGGCCAAAATAAAAAATTCTGTGCTTCGTAAGTAGTGGAAGTACTAGATGGGGACATTCTACCGCAAAGAACTCTCTTCACCATTCCATTGTTAGGGACAGAACAGGTTGGAGACTTTTTTGACAAGCCGTCTTCCAGATTTAACCGAAAGTGGGTGGAGGGATTCGCCAATTTCAAGTGGATAATTGGGCGTCCCATCAATTCGACTGGAGGCTTAAGGAAAGAGATAAAGTGGTCGCTAAAGAGGCAATGGAAGGCATTCGAATACTTTTGAATCACGGGTCGCACTACCTATGATAAGGAGGATCCTTCTGAAAAGCCCTGAAGATGAGTCCTGCAGCTTCACTTGGACATTAAAGACGATCCTTCCTGATCCTTTGAAAGCGTCGACGTGACCCTGACGGCTTTCAATCAACGATTATGAAAAAATCTCTTTAGCAAAGACCAGTTTTTCAAAGCATTGAATTGGATCCAACAGCTGGTTCTCTGGAAGGCTCTATTTTATAAGCTCGTGGAGGTGATGAATGGGTTCAAGGACTTCTCGTCGAATTTTTTGGCAAAAGTTTGACTTTTTGAAACTCCGATTGCATTTTTTGATCGTCAAAGGCGGTTTGCATAAGAAAGACTTTTGTCATTTCAGCATGGTATGACTCCAATGTTCTGGGCCGCGTACAAAGACTTCATCGACATCGTGATCTACCTAATCAGGCATGGCGCCTCAATCCAACGAAAAACGAAGGTTGGTTGTTGGTAAAACCTCAAGAGAACCTTTATTTTTCCTCCGTTCAACTTAATTCGACTATTCTTTGCCTTGCATGGCAGCGAGGATTCACTCTACTTCACGTCCTGGCCAAAGCGGACTCGATCAAGACGTTGGAGGCCCTGGTGCGAAGCAAAATTATCCGCAATTTTAAGGAATTGGACTTGGTAGGGTGGATTTGGCGTTTCATCTTTGTAGAATGACTGCACGCCACTCATGGTGGCAACAATCTCGGGGAGTTTGAGAGCTACAACCGTCCTCTCGAGAATTGGAAATCTCGAAACACATGTAGATAAGGTGAGGAGGAAGAAGGCGTTTTCAACGGCTTGTTTGACGACAGCCCTTTGTTTACCCATCCATACATTCTGCATCCATCCATTCATCCATCCTGGATCCATCCATCCTGTATCCATCCATCCTCGATCCATCCATCCTGTATCCATCTATCCATTCACCCATCCATCCATCACGTATCCATCCATCCTGGATGCATTCATCCATCCATTCATCCACCACGTATCCATCCGTCCCTTCATCTATCCATCTCTTCATCCATCCTGTATCCATCCTGGATCCATTTTTCCATCCTGTATCCATCGATCCATCCATACATCCTGTATCCATCTCCTACTTTTTATCTATCAGGATTTAGAATTGGAAGTCAAATCAATCTGTTAGTTTAAAGAAACTAACCTCCTCATTCGTTTGTTCATTTCTTTTCAAATTCCACCTCAAATTGCTTTGAAATTTGAGCCCTCGTCAATATCACAGGCAGGAAATGATACGGAGGGTGAACCGGTGTTACACCATCCACAGGAGTGCCATGCGTGTGTCGTGAAATTAGGGTAGCTAAAATTACAGGATCATTTCCTCTGTCCTTGTTTTTTTTTTTTTTTTCTAACAGACCAAGAAAAATGTCTTCCACCTCGCCGTGCTGGGTGGATGTCACCTGGTGTTGGAGCAGCTTTGCAAACACGAAGAGATGCCCAGTTTGATTAATGCCTTTGTAAGCTTTTTCTCCTTTTGCTAGCTCTGGATGAAATCGATAATTTGGAAGGTAGTCGACCTCTTCTCTTTCGTCTAGGATGACGATCTGAAGGCACCGATCCACTATGCAATTGACTTGGATGACTACGATAGCGTGTCTGTTCTGCTGAAGTATGGAGCAAGAGCAAATATTAAATCCAAGGTAAGGCGAGGCCTTGAGACCGTCTAGTCGGGCGGTGTGAAAGTCGTAAGAAATTCGTGTAGCTTCTACTATACTGTACACGTAAAACCGGAACTAGTGGCTGCTCATCCACCCTGGAAGTAGATGGAAAGTGGAAGGAGTTGCTAGTACAGCTAAAAAATTCACTCTTTACAAAACATCGTTTCAAAACAGATTAGACATTATTCAGCTGCTTAGAACTAGGAATTTTAAGAACTAAAGCCTTCCGAGGCATCCTGGCTGTTAAGACGGGCGTGGAGACTACCGTCTTTGAAGAGCTTTCACCACTTTGGTATGGCAATGCTGACCAACTTGCATTCCGATCACCGCATTACCGCGTATGAGGTCTCCTGTCAGTAACCACTGACGATACCTCTTCGTTCATGAGATTTTCGTCAGACTCGAAACGCCTTTAAGGCATCGGTGGGGACGCCCACTAGGGCGGCTTTGACGGTAGGGACGAGGGACTAGGAGCACGGATATCTTGAACGCCATCTCAAAAAAGATGACTTACTTTTCTTTTTAGAACGCTCCATATCCTCTCATAACTGCATCTCGGCGTGGGAATGTTGATATGATCAACCTGTTGTTGAACAACAAGGCGAGGATCTCGGCAGCTGACTTTGTAAGCTCCTCACGAATACTGAATGCAAGAAACGGAAAAAGGGCTTTGTTTTCTACACCAAAAATTTCTCAAACTCAATTTTAGCTTCGTGGCTCTCAGATGCATGTTCATTACCAGCGTCACATATGTGTGACATCACAATTGTCCTATTTGGCCACGACGTCACACATATGTGACGTACGTGACCCCCAGACTTACCAAATCTGTCACTTAGTTGGCTTTCTGATAACCCCATACCAGTTCAAGGGTTAACTTCCTTGTAATGATCTGTGATTTGTTTAATTTCTTTTTGCCAATCACCTAGGCGGGCAACACGCCTCTCCACATTAGCTGCATAGCCAATCAAGTGGATGCGGCGTGGTTCCTCTTGCAGAAAGGCGCCAACATGCTGGCGTTGAATAAGGTAAGCGGTAATAGGAAAAATCTTCACAAATAAGTGAATGGAATATTAGGGCGACATGACCTTCGGGCCGCGCCCGCATCCTCCCAGCTCTCCTTTCTTTTGGTCAAGGGTGCGTTCTTAGGCTTAAAACGACCTAAAGGAGGACTCAGGATGCTACGTTTATCAATATTTATGTTATAAACCGTAATCAAAGAGGTAGAAATAAAGATAAAAATAAAGTAATATTCAAGCTACTTAATTCCATTTCAGCGACTTCAAACACCCTTCAATGCAGCAGTAGAGCAGGCCAGTGCAGAAACAGCGGAACTTCTAATTCTCGCTGGAGCACCGATAAATGAGGTTGATAGAGTGAGTTTACGAGCTTGAGACTGCCAATCAAAGACGCCAGGGTGCTAATTACTTATTGGTTGTAGTGGAAGGGGTCAGTTAATACCTCTCGATTACTATACGATCGCACTTTTAAATTTTTGAGAATTTATTTAAAAATTCCTTGTCCTAGGACTAAAAGCCACCCCTTGTGGAAAGAGCGCAGCTCTTATTAATGGGCAAGATTCTACAAAATTTATCAGTCGCCTCATCTACTAATTTAATATAAGTAGTATGTTTGACAGTGCCTTATATATTATATGACCTAGTAAATTTAATACATTTTTAGGCAGCGAAGAAACCTCTAATGCAGGCGGCGTTGTCTGGATTTGTGAGGATAGTGGATATGATCATCAAGGCCGACCGATGGCGATTAGCCAGTCCGGTGAGGTTTGATTTCCCCTATTAGGCTTTTCCTCTCTTAGTACCCCCATTACCACCACTACCCATCCACTAGTTCCAAATCCAACCATCTTATCCCGATTATCGTGGATAATGTATCGGTTTAAGTGGATCTGTAATGAATGGAAAGCTAACTTGGGACCGGCTAAATCTAAGGTGCTAAAAAGTGTGATGAGCCATATTCGCAGGGCTAGCTGGCTCCAGCGAAGAAAAATGCATTTAGGGGGCTTTATAGTAAAGGAGACGATGAATTTGTAAATAAAAAGTAACTGCCACGAGGTTGGTTGGATCTGAAATGATTGGGTAATAAAATCCGAATGAGTTGGTGGATCCACGACAAAACTCTTGCCTCCTCTTCCTCCAGGCAGCGGCTGCGGCCATGGCTAAAAAATACAATCCAAAGAAAAGGACTGAAGACGGAGAGGAAAATTTGGAAGCGGGTAAAGAGGACGTGGAGGTAGAGAAGGCCTCAGCCAATAATCACGAGTATGAGGAATTCGAAGAGACGGACTCCATTTCTGAGGCTTCGACCTACGTCTCCAAATCCTCCACTTCAGACTCAGAAGGCAAGGAGAGTGACAGTAAAGTCGAGGCGAGTGACGATGACTCTCTCTCCCACGCAGAGACTTACCACAGTGAAAGTGAGGGAGACAGAGACGTAACACCCGCTGAATATTCCGCGAAAGCAAGTGATGAGGTCTTCACCTCGCCCCGGCAGTATCGCAAGGCGGAATCGGTGTTTTCTTCCTCCTCAGCAACTGGAAGTGCACGAGGTCGTAGGATTGAACGATCAAAGCAACAGAAAGCAGCTGCTACGTTGAATGAAGATCATGTTTATCAAATGGCCCCTAGTCTTGACGGGTGCAATGGAGGAGGGAATATCGCTTCTCCAGCTCCCAAATTATCGAGGTTCGTAATGACTTTGACCAGGGCTTCCAGTAGGATCAAATGCCTTGAGCAAATAGCATTTTTCCTTTTATTTAGAGGACAATCAACTCTTCTACCATCACTACAACAGGACGGGGGATCAGTGGCATCAAAACCGCCTCTTCGTAGTGGAGGAGCAGGGGTTTCGAAGGTTCCAAATTCTCTCCGCAGGTCACCAGTTGCACTAACGGCCTATTTTACAGTCTATCAACCGGAGTATCGATTCCTTGTCAGCACTCAGGTATTATTGGAAGTAGCTTTCGTTGACTTTAGCGCACTCACCACCAGCGTCACCTATATGTGACACACCGAGTTCATTGACTGATCGAGGCGTCAAGACCACTTTTTATTCTAACAATGAAAAACTTAGCTGTGGTAAAGTCATTTTTTTTTAAACGACTCATCTGGCAATACAGACTAACAAATGGGTCTGCGTGGTCCCATTTCTAACCCAGATTTTTTTCTGATCTACCTTATTCACCTGTATTGTGAGCCACCGTAAAAGAATGACAGGCACGGAAGACGAAACAAAAGAAATACAAAGCATGAGAATGAAGCAGCATCTAGTCTTGTGCTTCTAAAATTGCTTGTGGAGCTGTTTGACAACCTTACATATCTGACAAAACTTTAATAAAGTCTAATGCAAGTTTTTATACGTTTGCCTTTATCAGTCCTACGCGGGTCGCTACCAGACGCTCTTTTTCTACCTCGCGCACAAAAAGTTGCGTCGGGGAGAGTGGAAGTCACTGGCCAAACACTGGGATTTCACCGAGGAGCAGATTGAAGCCATAGAACTTCAACACACTGGTCTGTCCATAAAACTCAGTCTACTTATTTACAATTCAGCAGCATGAATATGTCAAATGTTTTCTGTCTCGTATATAGGTGACAGGCAGGCCTATAAGGAGCATGGCTATCGCTTACTTTGTATTTGGATGCATGGTTTAAGTGAGGAAACCGATCCAGCGCCTATGCTTTACAAAGCTCTCACCTCAATTGGCCGAAAGATGGACGCAAACAATGTGCAGAAGGATTTCTACAGAGCTACACACGGACGGCACTCGGTCAGCGATTACTGTCCCATCTCGTGACACCTTGTCACATCCTCAGTTGGCGTGGCTTCACTTGAGTGTACATATAATTCCATAAAAATGTGCTTGAGCCAAATTCGAGTTCAGAAGCGTCATTTTTGGGCTCTAATTTAAAAGTAGGGAAGATTGCATAGTTGGTTTTTGGAAAAAAAAAGCACCTTGGTCATCCTCTGCGATTTACAGGGCAGATTAGCCTTCATAAATGCTTAAACTGGAAGGGCAGAAATAAAGTGGTCATTTGACATTCTCAATTACTCAAGGCTCGTTAGTTCTTATTTGAAAGTTTAGCTTTAATTATCAGAGGTAGGAATGATTGAAAAAGGCATAAAATGGTTTGAGAACTAGGAGTATACGCGATTTGGTGTTCCGTATGCATTGATATACCCAGATCATCCACGTGTTGGATGTCACATTATAAACAGGAATGACGGCGGTCCAAAGGCCCCTTGCGTCCACCCAACTGCCGTCAGGACGAGCACAAAAAGCGCAGTGGTGGCAGTAGTGACAACATTGGTGATGCGTTCTTATCGCAGGGAGGTTGACTTCTAACTGAAACAGAGTCTGTCTATCGAGGAGCAAACATTCGTTTCTTTCCGTTCTGTCCAGTGTAAATAAACACGCATCAGAGTGATCAACTAACTGTTTTCCATGTGGCTTACTCAAGTTTTTCCCTCCTTTACCTTACGAGTTCCACAAGAAGGTGAGAGTCGAAACTTAGGGGTGTATCACAGTCAGGAGGTTATGGATGGTGTCGATGAAGATGAGTGAGTGTCCCCCTTCCAACCTCAGCACATTAAGTAAGATAGACATTCAATCAAGAAAATGCAACCAAAAGCAGCTTTCACTAATAAAGAAAAAACATTTTCTGGCAATGTAGCTTTTAATTTTTAGCAGAATTTGTGACAGTTTATGCCTTCTGTTTACCATAAAAGTCGCTTACAGTAGAAACTGATGCTACTTAAACACTTAAGTAGGCATTTCCACTTATCCAAATTTCAATAGTCACTTCTAAGCGCTACTGAATTCGCACGAACCACCCACTTTCTCAAATGCCAAATTAGGAGGTGACCTTGCCAACCTTTATAATTTGCAAAGTGTGAAAAGGCATTTTGACGCTCCCTATATTCGGCGAGGAGCCCTAATTTCCAATCCTCGCATCCCTGCCTCTGCCGCATCACCTCCTCTCCTGCACACAGAGTGAGCGCGGGAGGGAGAGAAGAGAGGGGGAAGAGGTATGCGGTTGACGCCCCAAGCTGACCAACGCCCAAAGGACGAGCTGTTTGCTTGAGAAGCATAAACATCATCTTCGCTTTACGTAGGTTAAAACTCACCCTCTCTCTGGGACGCTCAGTCTATGGCTCTAGGAGCTAAGGTAAGTTTGCCTCAAAAATTTTATTTCACTTTTAAATCAATTTTTGTCTGTCACTTATCAAAAAATAAAATATTGTGGATTGAAGCATTGCCTCCCGGTTTTGCTGTCTTGATTCCGACAGGACCAGTTTGCCACAACTTCTTTTTTTCTCAGCGGTAAACTTAAACAGATGCAGGACGCTTACTTTGGAAAATTTGCTTTAGCCTCACTTACTATTTTATCTGAGATTTGAAATCAGCCGCTTCCGGGTTATAAATTTGCAGACGGAGAAGAGGGTCAGCTTTGCCCATTTCTCCTCTTCTGGCTTTTCATACGTTTGAGGTTATTACTGTAGCTTTGCTTTCTCCGGCTGCTAATGTCACCCCTCAGTCGACGCGATGCGAGGAGTATCGCCTCGTTGGAGATGAGGGACCCTTTAGATGCTTCTTTAGGCGGTTTGTCCAGTTTTGTGTAATCTACGTACTCTTAACAGAATGGGGACCATTGATCTCATCAACACCATGAAAACTCTGCATTTATCGTCTAGAAGGGTCTCATACCTTTTACTAAAAGAGGTTTTCGACTGTTAGCCTTTCAATGAATTAGCTCCGTCCAGTCATTCGTAATCAACCTCATCCTCCATTTTTGTCGAACAAAAAGAAAAAAAAAATGTTTCAATTATTCACACTGCCTATTTCTACATCAACTTCCGTAAACAAACTGGGTTTATTTACCCAAAGTTGGATACTACTTATATGACATTACCTGAATTAAGTAGCCATTATACACTAATAAAAGATAGGAAATAAATTATGTCAAAATAATCTATTTTTTCCTAATTAACAAGTAGGGCAGTGTAAAAATTAATTTGTTCTCTTGCTCCAAACCTTTGCTTTTTTCAAAATGAATCTACCAAAAACAGGATTTTGTAAATTTTGCATAGACATTTTTGGCAATTTTTCTTTCCCAATGCAATTTATAAAATTAAAGTGAAGGAGAATATCATGTAGAAGGGAAAAGGTCACCTCCTCCAGAGGGCGAAGGAGTAACCAGGTCTTTCGTAATAAGTACACCAATTAAGTAGTAGCATTCACAATTTTCCGTTGCTAAACAAAAAATACGCATTTTCTGATGAGCGCACTCCTATTGCGTAAAAATAATTAAGCCCTCGAAGAAATTAATTTTTGTACTTTTTTCTCCTCTCGCCCTCCCTCCCCTTCGATGTGAAGCACATCCTTAGAGGGGAGACGACCTCAACATCTCGGTCGTCATGTCAGTTGTCATTCCCGTTTTGGGGCAGCTAAATGATTGATCTCATTGGTCACTAACTTTTTACCTCTAGCGGAGTGTAACAAATCCACTTTAATCAGTTTGCAATTCACAATTCATTGTTCTCGGGTAGAATAAACTGATGGATGGCACATGTCACATATTTGTGACGCACGAACACAGATGAGGATATCGCAGGAACTACGTACTTGAGATACTGTAGAACAGAACCTCTTACATCTAACATTTTGGATGTACCTAGCCTTTTTGTAAGGAGCCTTTTAAAGCAAAATTTGTCTTTTTCCCCTTTAGTAGATGGGAAATTGTTATTCACAGTGTGAAGAGA